CGCCGAAGCGACCGCAGCTTCTTCTTGTTCTTCTTGTTCTTGTTCTTCTTCTTCCTCCGCAATTGGCTCGGGGACTAACGTAACGTTAACAAACTAAACTCCGACAGCACGCAAGACTCTATGGGGGTACTCACAGTAATCGTTCGCTTGTACTGTAAGTAGCATGCCTAGTTAGCAACATTGTCATACTGAAGGAGGTGTGTGCAGTCAGGGACTAATGAGCATGATGCGTATAGATAGAGACGGAAGGAGACACTAAGAAGATAACATACGCCAGAAAGGGTGGTCGCCGTCAGGCGTCATGCCCGAGGACTCAGCCCAGTCGGTCGTACTGACCGCAGGGAAGGTGGTAGACGACAAGTAACTACACGTACAACACATTGTTAGTCTCCACAACCATCGTATATATCAATCGCAGCAATTGCACTCACCTCATGTTGTCTTGGGTTACATGAGGTGATTGAATCTCGCGCTGAGGTTTACAACCTGCGCCCGAAGGCGGCCGCGCTAACACTGAGGGAAGGCACGACTGCCACCCATGAAGCAAGTACACCCGCTACCCATGAAGCAGGTACACCCACTACCCATGAAGCAAGTATGTCTGGTACCCATGAAGGCTGTACGCCTAGTGTCCACAAAGTCAGTGCGCGCATTATACACGAAGCAAGTACGCCCAGTACACTGAAAGTCAGTACACCCAGTACAACGGTATCTCTGAAGTAAGTACGTTCGGTACCCTTGAATTCAGTATATCCCGTACCCACGAAGCAAGCATGTTGCATTCATCAAACAAACACTTACACAAAGTCTCCGAGAGACACGAAACGAACCATTATCCATCTCTTACTGCTAATAGTGACTGAATGTCTTGTCCCGTGCTGGTGTGGCAGTGCGTTTCTACAATGGAGTTTATCTGTTTGTCAGTAACTGAAGATACCTCGTGTGTTGCGGGCCCCAATAACAGGAAAGAAGGTACTAAAATCAATTTTTCAATTCGCAAATATGAGCTACAGGATAAGCATGACTTGTTACTGGAATCATGTATAGAGATCGCTATCATATCCAGTGCCCAATAGACCCATGACATCTGAACGCATGCCTGGGTCTAACATGGAAATGACCGCATGTGCATCCCCAAGATATGCTCAGCCCAACGCGAAATGAAACCAGTTGTGAACAGGAACTAATCGAGAACCGATCACCGCTCAGGGTGACCCACCGAAATCTGCATTCATGTTAGCATATACTTCGAGTACTAGCATGAATACAGGTAGCATTGACTTACAAATCGGACTACTCGATTCTGGTGATCATGGCGCAGAGAAGGCTTAGAACTCATTTTCGCCATCGTCGGCACTCTCCAAATCGTCCGACTCGTCCGACTCAGGCTCATCCGAGGTGACCTGTATGTCCGAAGGATCCTCTTCGCGCGGTCCCGACAGATCCAACTCGGCCAGTTTGTTGCTGAAATTCTGGTTTGCTGTACCGAAGATAGAATAGAACTGGTTGATCAGGGCGGGATGCACGATTTTCCAATGTGCCACGTCTTCAGCTGACAAGCCATGGGCATCCTTCGCTGCCCCTGTGATTTCCTTGGTGGTAAATTTACCAGGCTCCCGGATACCCCCAGTGCCCGTCCAAGTACAGCAAGGGCGACCTAACATCTCACAGACTTGACACACGTTCGAATTCCCAACCCTCTTGCAGCCTCTCTTGAAGACTCCGTTGGCGAAGGCTACGTCTGGGAGCATAGTGCACACGTCGCATTGTTTTCGATGACTACCAAAGGAGCGAGTTGAGAACTTTCCAAACTCACCACCAACGTTTTGCAGCTGCAAGTGACTGGATTTGAGTTCTCTCAAGATGTCGCTGGAAGGTCTGAGCGTTGATGGCTGTATAATAAATGGCTCGTTTGAACGCTTGATCGTGATCATCTGGTTATGGAGGTCGAAGTCAGCGAGGAGGACGTATGCACGGCCAGACAAGCGAGGTATCCATGGTAAGGAGTGGTTTGGCGCTTTGCCGAAAAGCCACTGCAGGAAGGAAATGGCGGTAGCATAGCTCCTCAATGCTCCAGGAACACTGGTGTCCACAAATCTAAACATCTGGCTAGTCTGAATGTATCGATAGCGCCATTGTCCAGAATTTGGAGGATGTTCCCACTCAATTCGAATTGCAAATGAGCTTGCCTGTGTCCAGTTCGAGAATGGGCCAATTCCAGAAAGACGCGACCATGCGTGTGGGTGACGGCTTCCATCCTTGTAAACCTCAAAAACAAGATGATATGGGACGTTGGCCAGCGGTGCCTTGGTGCCATCCTTGCTGTCGCTCCAGAAGCTGAGACGGATACCCTGCTTGCCGTGCATCTTCTCCCAAACAGCCAGTTGACGCTTCGTTTGTCCAGGTTGTATAACACTCGCATGGCTCAGTTTCCTAGGGTTGGCGCTGCGAAAGATTGCCACAGGAGTTGAGCGTCCAGATGCCTTGTCCATGGTTCTCGTATCGGTGCGAAGGAAAAGGATCCGGTTAGTATATGCCGTCCATTCTTGTAAAGGTGAGCTGAAGTTGGCACCTTGATACGCTCCGAACCCTTCCCGAGAAACAGCCCCATGCCACCCGGTGCGTTCAAAGACGTTGCGTGCGATATCAGTGAAGTACTTGGCATAGCCAATGGCCGAGAGTATTCCCGAACCACCCGAGCTGGCAACACGGTCCGAGAACATGAATTTGCGATAGGTTTGACAAAGACAAACAAATATCTGCTCAACGACATGGGCGAGATCTGGAATATCGTCTTCAGAAAGAACGCACATTGCGAACATGTCCAAAGATGCGGAGTTTCGGGTCAGGTCACCATACCTGGACGTCGCTGACTTGTGGCTCTGCGAACGGTGGTAGAAATTGACAGTCTTGCCGACGTATACATAGTACGTGTTTGGTTTCCAGTAGGGGACCACAGAATCTGAAAGATGAACTCGCATGTAGACACCGCCTGTCTCTTGAGTGTAATCGTCGATGACATGTGTGGCAGCACCTACCAGATCCTGCCAACGAAAGCCTGGGTTGTTGAGAGTGTCATAGAGGCCTGCTTCCCTGATGCCCTTGATGATGGTCTTGGTGATAGAATCGATGCTTCTCTTTTTGACGACGTCTTCATACTTCGAGCCCATGAAGTCTGCGGGAGAATCGTGAAACGCGGTCAAGAGCGCATGGATGGTACGCCCCAATGTACTCTGGTCATCAGGAGTATCTCGCATCCACTGAATGGCGTTGAAGTCGAAAGCATCAATACTGATATAGATTGGCCAGTCTTTGATATCGGACACCCAGCGTTTGCCTTTCCATACATCATTGGCTGATACCCATATGTTGTTTACCCACACCCGTTCCTGGGTTTGGGGATTCAATACATAACTTCCCGTGACGCCCTCAATGAAGATCTTGGCTTTCTTCTCGTTATTGAACACTTTCTCTTCTATGAGATGACCTTGCATGCCCTGGAGGAACACGGTGCGCGTCGACTGGACGTTGAAGCTCCGATTGATAGTGCAACCAAACTGAGTCTTGATTCTGGTGTGCGGACTAGTCGCGGGTATACCGGTGCGATTGTCGATCCATGAAGCAAGCTCGGAGGAGGAGAAACCGGCCGTAATGTGAGGACTATCTCCGGGGGGTAGGAACGGCATGATGAGCGTTATTCAGTAATGTCTGAACAAGGAGATCAGTCAGTAATGGGATTGGACCCTAAGTATCATGTTACGCTCAGCTTACGTTGGTGGGGGCCGCCCTGAGAGCTGGCGGTGTTTATCGGTGGGGCTACGGTAAGGTGAAGTAGGTCGGTTGGGGTAGCGAATTGGACGATGTCTGAGCGTTCCGAGCACACTGAAGAAGCCTCCAAATAGTTAGTAGTGAAGAGTGCGAGGAGATGTAGAGCTTACTGTAGCAAGTGTGTAGCAAGAGTGAGTAGAAAGTTGCGGGCGAAGGGCAAGGTTTTATACGTAGCCTCAGCAAACGGGTTGTGGAGCGGCCGGAAGCGAGAGAGTGACTCACCACTACTGCAGGCACCGGGCTGAAGGTCCACGTGAGAGAAATGGCGCGTGAATCCAGGGACCAACGCGAGCTCTGACGTAATACCTAGGTAGCTTGCGAATACGCCGTCACAAACAATACGCGCCTGGCTCAGGGTCTATATCACCTGGGCAGCATGTCAAGATATTTATAAGCAGGCTAAAATAAGAGATCATGGAGTAAAGTCGTGCTTAGCATGACCCTTGTGACACTGTAAAGTATGAATTACCCTGTCCTATGCACCATATCAGACCCGCTATCTAGACGCTCAAGCCAGCGTAATCAGATACGTGAGATTTGAAAACGTAATACATGAATTGAATATCGTCTTCCTGTTTGTCGGCGGTCTATACAATCGGTTGGCCGCCTGGTTTCGAGTAATTGTGGGTGTGCAACAAACAGTGTCTTTACACATCAAGGCGGTCAGCCGCCGGACTCCAAGTGATTGCAGGTGTCCACGGGTGGCATTGTCGCAAACGAAGAGATCTGGTAGGCAGCAGCACAAGCGAAAGACGACATGATGCAGCGCTAGCTCTGACTCACCTAGATATCAAGGTACAGGGCATATAAGAAGGCCGCTTCTCTCTTCCGATAAATTGAACCGTCACTGGCGATTACTTGTGGAAGCACTGTGTGGATCAACAATACCTACTTCGGTAAGTATCGATAGACCTTCACTTTCACAGCCTCGTTCTGATACCTGCGGAATCAGAACAGCTTACTTCGCATCATTCCAAGCTCAGATTGCCAAAGCCCTACACGATACCTAGGTAGGTTGGCAATTCACCGCTCAACGAAGACTGATACACTGCTGACACGCGATCCGACTGAACAGCGAACCTTCAAGACAACCCCAAAAACTACGCCGTAGGTGCGTTCGAGCGCACTTACGTCTGTTTGTTTACCCCCAAGCGGTCGATATCAAATTCAACATGAATACCTACGATGAGGATGCTATCTACAACCCTACCATCAACCGTCAGCTCAAAGGTGTCTCAGTGAGCGGAAGCCAGCTCGCCGCAACGCACGCACGCCATATCTGTGATCATGGTCCAGTACCCAGGAACTATTACGTAGAACGCAAAGCTCTTAAGGACCGTATCGATGTGTTCTATGCGGATCATTCCATCGACGACACCATTGTTGCAATGCCTTGGGGACACAAGACGAACCCGACGGGTAGCTACAACCATCCACTCTCTCCCGCCGGTCTGAAAGAGAATCCGAACCCCAACATCTTCAAGGAGTTTACCGACACCCGTCCGAGTGTCCCTGGATTCTTTCAGCCACCCTGCTCGTACGTGCCTGGCGATTTCGAGTGGAAGCACCACGAGAATTGGCACGCGGCATTGGCGGATGCCGCAACGGCCAAAGGAGTGTCCGTTTCCGAGACTACTGTTGCGGATTTGCATGATCAAATATTGAAGAACGCCAAGTACAATCTCCAGGAATCCCATACTCTCTATCACCCAGCCGATCGAGATACCGCTATCTTCAAGGACGAGCCTGCCGCTTCTTTGGTCGCCAGCCAGTTGGGAAGCGAATTCAGCCTGATCATCGTGTGCCCATACGTTCGAGCGGACGGTGTTGACTGGAATCGATTCTGGGACACACGAAATCGGCCTCCCATCATCACGAGATGGTCAACAGGAGAGCAGGGAGTGCATGAGCCTTTGATCTTGGGATGTCTCCCCAAGGAACACATTGCAGGCACGAGGGAATGGTACCACAAGGATGCTTATTGGTTCGCTCTAGAACCCAAGCCCAACACAGCATTCTCTAATGCATGGGACTCGTAAGTGATCCAACTTCAGTACCAACACGTTACTAACTCTATCAGTTATCGTCAAGAGGAGAGTCTTACAAAACTCCAAATGAGTTTTGGGTATCCCGAATCCAGCAACGTGAACATGTTTGTATGGTGCCTTGTTTCCCTCCACCGTAGGATAGCCCTCGGTCTCAACATACCCGACTCGCACCTCGGCTCGTGGATCTGGCAATATGGGAAGCATATCCACGCATGCGGCATGCCACACACGCCAGCTCCCTTCAATGGCGACCCAAATCTGAACTACGGCGGTCGCGCGATCACGTATCGTGAGCTTACTGCATGGATCATGAACCCGAAGTTCAGTACTGTCAGCAAGGAGTATGCCCAGCGTTGGGACCTAGCCATTGAGGCTTTGATTGATCACAACCGTCACAGGAGCGACTTCCATTGGGCTGCGTTCCGTGCGAAGTTACTAGCTGCCAAGACACCTTTTTGGTGAGAGTTTGGTGATGCGGTGAACAGATGGATTATGACGTCAATCCAGAGATCATCAGTCGGTTTATCCAGATGACACAATTTGGAAGAGTGTGCGGCCACAAAGACGAGGGTTTCTATCCAGATATCCATGCGACAATGTTTGGCTGGCTCCTGTCATTTTACATATGGATTTGTTCTGCTTTTTTTGTTTTTGTGTTTTGATCTGACCTGCGCTATTGATTTCTTATTCAATAGGTAATCATACGACGGCGTTGGAGGGTATATGAGCAATGTATTTGCTCATAGATAGGGATTGGGAAGCAAGAGAGGAAGGCTGCCCCCATCTATACATGGAGCTCGGCGGCAGACATGGACTCTGTATCTAGCGTGCTTATGAATTGAAACCTGGTTTTGCATCTTTACTCCTCATGAAGGCTTTCGTGTCATTGCTCTGACGCGCTGTGCGAACCGAAAGGCCGGCTACGCTTGCTGCTTCTGGCTCATTATCATGGGCATCTTCGCCAAGTTTGCGGCGGCCCTTGTTGCCATTCCCTCAGCAGTTCTCGGTGGAATGACAACCTTCCTCTTCAGCGCCGTCGCTGTTAGCGGTATCAGAATCATCAGCACGATGTCTTTCACTCGCCGCAACCGATTTATCCTCACTGCAGGATTCACCCTGGGCTTTGGCGCTACCATGGTCCCAGACTGGTTTGATCACGTCTTCACTTACGATGGACCGAACCACGCACTTCAGGGCTTCTACAACGCTATCATCCTAATCCTCGAGACAGGTTTCGCTGTTGTTGCTTTCATCAACGTTGTACTTAACCTTGTCCTACCAGAGGAGATTGAGGACGAAGAGACACCGGAGTTGACTGCGAATGAAGTCGACGAGCCAGCGGACAAGGAAGAGTGGGCCAGGGTCAAGAAGGGAGCCACTGATGTTGAGGGACGACCAAGTTCGGATATTGAGCCTAGCAAGGCTGCTTGAGCGCAGTTTGATGCATGGTTTTGAGTTTTACGAAAAGCGAATTTCACACTGGATGAATGTCTCGGCGTTATAGTCTTCTTATATTTTACATTACGAAGTCATTTCTTCCTTCTCACCAATTGCCACCCTCGTGCTGCAGCCCAAGATGGTAGTAGTCATCTTACGACACCGATATGCACCACAAAACCACTGCCCTCTCTCAATCCCTCACCCAGCATCCTATCAGGCACCTGCCAGACGTGAAAATACCGATGGAAACTTTTCAACCAAGTTTCAAAGACCTCGGGACTGCGCAGCTGCTGCGCAATAAGACAAAGTGTTGGTTCGTCCTTGTCATCCTTCAACCTACATATTGCAGCACATGTCGTATTGAGCGGCTCAATCAAAGCTTCGTTATAAACGCAATCGCACGATACGATCATGTCCACGGGGTTGAGACGAGAAGTTGCATCTGTCTCCCAATCTAATTGCAGTGTTGTGATGCGATCGCCACTATTTCCTCCTTCTCCCTTCAGCTGACCTTGCTGTTTCTTAATTCCCTTCCCACTCTTTCTTTTTGTCGGTATGACGGTGTCAAGGTTCTCGGCGATATTCTGCCGTAGTATCTTGAGCACATAGTCCTGGTCAGTGGCTGTGTAGCTTGCGACTAGGGGACCTAAGCAGAGTGCGACGATACCGGATACGCCTGCGCCGAGCTCGAGGATGCTGGAGCTGGGTGTGAGAAGGGAGGATGTGAAGAGGAAATTTGTGGGGGAGGCGATCCATGTTGCGAACAACGGGGTGACTTTCCACACTACTGTTTAGGCGTTAGTTGGCGGGAGCGGAGCGGAGTATGGCATGTAGAGCGTGATAGTGCTCATTGCAATGAATTTGGTCCGCTATCTACTAGTCCTGTATGGTCAACCCAGGCCACTATAGCTGAGATGCTATTGTAGGAGCCCGCATGAGAGGTCAAATTCAACTGAAATGGGGAACGTAGGGGGCAACGCGCGACCCCGGAGAAAATTATGGCAAACACAGAGCTACTTACCGGCACCGGTCGTCCCTTCTTTACGACTGGAAGTCAGCAGACCTCTTGAGTGGTGAATGACCAGATCATGGCCCGCCACGCTGAGATCTAGAGTTGCCGCCGGCTCATCGATGAAACCAAGAGACTGAGAAGGAATATCTTGCGAAAAGACAACGAAGGCTTCTGCGTGATTTGATGAGTAACCTATCGATGATGACTTGTTTGCAGTCTTGCGACATGTTCCACATTGGGCGTACGTGAGAGCGAATCGCAACGACACAGCAATATGTTGAGCCGAGGACCAGCATAAGGGTGTGATTCGATGAGTACATTTGTGTACTCCAGGGCGTTTTACACACCTTCTTCAGGGTCCAGGATGGGCCCCGTTGCCAGAATCTCTGTGAGACTCCGCATCTTGGCAACGCTCAGGCGACAGCGGCCTGCGATTATCCGCTCGATCCTTGCACCTGCGTTAAGGTTGGCAACGGAGCGAAAGCGTCAAAAGGAGACAGCTGCGCGTCTTGGAAGAGTCTCCGGATTCCTTGGCCAGCTGCAGGCCGACTCCACTGCGTCTCACGACGACGTGAGGTCGAGCAGGTTTCCAACGCGAAGAATACGTCGACAGGACACGACGGCGGGAGGCTGAGACGACCTGGCAGACCTTGCGATGTGTGCTGCGCTGTCGATCTTCAGTCGCATCTCGTTCGACAGAAAAGAAGTGGAGCAGCGGCTGGCCCCAGGTGCCCAGAGCTTGCGGTGGCTGAGTGAGGTCATCAAGAAGCTCGGCCACCCCAGCCAGGTCGTCGATTTAGCGACCGGGAAAGCATAACAAGCGCATAAGCTCCCAACACACCAACCTCATCACATCCGCCGTTCCCCGCTGGCGACGACACACTCTCCATATACCCTCTCGCTGCTTTTTGCACTTTTTGTGATACCCTTTGCCCTATATCCCTACACATACCCACCCCCATCACACACGGTCGTCACTCTGGACAGCGCCCACCCCAGAGCCGCCAAGATGCCGCAAGACCTCAAGAAGCTGATGCCCCAGGCCAAGAACCACCGGGCGGGGCCCTACACGTGCGAAGCTGCGAATGCAGAGAAGATCGAGGGCGAGACGGTGCCGCGTCGTAACCTGGCCGCGAAAGACGGTCTGGTACTGAAGCCCCACGACAACGTAGAGACATTGTACGACGTGCTGCGACACGCAGCCGCCAAGTACGGCAATGCAAAGGCAGTCGGTGCGCGTCGCATCGTCAACATACATGAGGAGACCAAGAAGGTCAAGAAGATGGTCGATGGCAAGGAGCAGGAAGTCGACAAGAAGTGGCAGTACTTCGAGCTCAGCCCGTACAAGTACAAGAGCTTCGTCGAGTTTGAGAAGATGGCGCTCGCAGTAGGCTCGGGTCTGAAGTCGCTGGGCTTCAACCCGCAAGACAGGCTGCACCTGTTCGCCGCCACGAGCATGCAATGGCTGGCGTCCGCACACGGTAAGCAGCCGCGTGTATCTATACAGGAACCAATAACTCATCATGCTTGCAGGTGCTATCTCCCAATCCATGGCCATTGTTACCGCATACGACACGCTCGGAGAAGAGGGTCTCAGGCATTCTATGCTTCAGACCAACGCAAAGGTCATGTTCACCGACCCTGAGCTGCTACCCAAGCTCGTCAACCCAATGAAGGAGGCCAAGGACGTCCAGGTCGTCGTATACTGCACCAAGAACGACCCCAAGCAGAAGGACATCGATACCCTTACCCAGGCGCACCCGCACTTGAAGGTTATGAGCTTCGACGAGCTGGTCAAGTTGGGCGAGGAGAGCCCTGCGGAGCCTATCCCGCCCAAGGCCGACGATCTGGCCTGCATCATGTACACGTCTGGATCTACAGGCACCCCCAAGGGAGTCATGATCAAGCACCGCAACGTCATCGCTGCTAGTAAGTCTCCTGCTGCGAACATCTAAACGGAGTACTGACCTCTTTCAGTTGCTGGTGTCGATGTTATTGTAGGCAAGTACCTCGGACCGGGTGACGTTCTCATCACCTACCTCCCCGCCGCGCATATCCTCGAGTTCGTATTCGAGAACGCCGTGCTCTACTGGGGTGGTACCATGGGCTACGGAACCATCAGGACGCTCTCGGACCAGTCCGTGCGCAACTGCGCTGGTGATATCCGTGAGCTGAAGCCAACGGTCATGGTCGGTGTACCGCAGGTGTGGGAGACCATCAAGAAGGGCATCGTCAACAAGGTTGAGGCGGGAGGCGCTGTTAAGAGCAACATGTTCTGGGGAGCGTTCGCCGCCAAGGGCTTCCTCCTTGGTTCTGGCCTGCCAGGTAGTGGTATTCTCGATGCCATTGTCTTCAACAAGGTCAAGGAAGCCACCGGAGGTAGACTTCGAATCTGCTTGAACGGTGGTGGACCCATCTCAAAGGAGACGCAGCGCTTCATCTCCATTGCCATTACACCCATGATCAGCGGATACGGTCTGACCGAAACCTGCGCCATGGGTGCGCTTATGGACCCCTTGGCCTGGAACGAGCACGCCCTCGGTGAGATGCCTGCTTCAATCGAGATGAAGCTTGTCGACTTTGCGGATGCTGGCTACTTCTCCACCAACAACCCGCCTCAGGGAGAAATCTGGATCCGTGGCGGTGGTGTCGTAGACGGTTACCTGGACATGCCCGAGGAGACCAAGGAGGCCTTCACCGACGACGGATGGTTCAAGACTGGTGACGTTGGAGAGTTCAACGCCAACGGTGAAGTCCGCATCATTGACCGCAAGAAGAACTTGGTTAAGACACTTGCTGGAGAGTATATTGCGCTCGAGAAGCTCGAGTCTGTCTACCGCTCCGCACCCATTGTCGCAAACATCTGCGTCTACGCTGCAGAAGATCGCCAGAAGCCTGTCGCGATCATCGTGCCCACCGAACCGCAACTGAAGAAGATTGCCGCCGCAGAGGGTGTCCAGGGTGACCACCTCGAGGAACTTGTTCACGACAAGAAGATCAATTCTGCAGTGCTCAAGCAATTGCAGCAGGCTGGCCAAAAGGGTGGTCTGGCTGGATTCGAGATGATTGAGGGTGTTGTGCTAGCAGACGAGGAGTGGACACCACAGAACGTAAGTACCTATGTAACATGGAAGAAAGTCTACAGAGTGCTGACATTACAACAGGGCCTCACCACTGCCGCACAGAAGCTCAACCGCAAGGGTATCTTGAAGCAGTACCAGAAGGAAGTTGACCAGGCCTACGGCAAGTCGTCTTAAAGACGTGTTGTCAGAAGCTAAAAGTTGAAGGACATTTCACGTGATCCTTGAACAACATGCTTGGCATCGTTGCAAATTTCCTATGACTATATGAATTGAGTTGGCGGAATATCCTCTTCCTTAGTATGGAGAAAGCTATGTAGTTATATCCTTGTTGCTATAGCACGGCGCAGGGGTCCTAGTTAAATGCTTATTCTGTGTGAATCTTGATCCCAGAAATTTGTCTCTTTACATATTGATAGATCGCGAAAAAGGTATTCCCTTGCGCATTTAGACATTACATCGACGTGCAGTGGTGCTCGACGAAAGCACCCACTCCCATGCTGCTCCGCAGCGTCTCACATGGTTGAGATACGAGTTGACTGGTTATGTGGTTGAGAAGACAGGTCCACCAAGCGGATAGCTTACTGCTTCTTAGCGTCCCTCTCAGCCTTTCGCAGGGCACGCTTCCGGATGCTCTCGTGCATGCCCCTGTTCACCTTGACAACAGTATCCGAGCGCTCACCCAAGAAGCGCGAAAGGAACCAGTGCATGAGTCCGTGGCTCCAGTACGGTGTGCTCGTGAAAGCTACGCCTTGTGCACCTCCACTCCTTCCAATCTTGCTTAGTGTAGCGTTTACGAATTGCTTGGGGTTCGGAACGAGTGCAGACGTCTTGCGGATCTTGGACATGGCCGTGGTGACGAGGTGAGACTGGACACATTGGACGTATACGCCGTGGGG